AAAAGATTTTTCAAAAATCAGCATAGCGAACATCAAAAAAGTTGAACAGAAACCATCACTTCACATTTCATGTTACATATTCAACGTGATCGTACTGGTAAAAAGGCTACTTGATAAAATTGGGCTGAACAAAAGTGAGGAGTCCAACATGATGGTGGTAATGGTGACTAGAGCCAAGGCTAAAATGTTAGGCAAAGTAAAAGATATAAAAATAGAATTAAAAGAAGTGATAGTACCCACCTTATATATTATAGAATCATCGGATGAGGCACTATTATTAGGAACTAACTGGTTCCAGAAGACCAGCACTTACATTCATTGTGATGAGCAAAAGTTATACCTACGATTTGCTAATAAAATCGTAGAAGTTCCTATTTTGAAAAATAGGGATAAAAACCTTAAATCATATTAAAAAGATGAGTATTATGGTAGAGAAGGAGATATTACCTTTGATGAATTTGATTATGAGGAGGATGAGGAATTAGAGGAAGCTGAAGGTCATTTTTTGAAAGAATGTGAGAAAAGTCCCGCACTATACCTCATGAATATTGAGTTAGTGCCAGTAGAGGATGAAAAAGAGAAAAGATCAATTAAGAGGAAAATCCAAGAATTCATCAATAATGATGAATTATCTCCCCTACAACAGAATATTGCTCAAAAATTTTTAGTGAGTAAGAAAAATATATTTGCATAAGGTCTTGAAGACCTAGGGCAAACTAATATTATTACCCATACTATAAACATAGCAGATGCTCTCCCAATATACCAAGGCCTATATAAAACCTCTTACAAGCAAAATAAGTTTGTAAGAAAAAAAATTAACAAATTGAAAAAAAAGGGCTAATTCGTGACACTTTTAGTCCTTGGGCGTCTCCCATAGTTGTAGTGCCTAAAAAGAATAGAAAATTTCAGTTATGTGTAGATTACCGAAAATTAAATGCATCAACTAAAAAGAACACTTACTCTCTCTCTCATATAAATGAATTACTTGACACCTTTGGGAATGCTAAATGGTTCTCTACTCTAGATCTAATGAGTGGATACTGGCAAGTTGGAGTAAGGGAAGAGGATAAGGAAAAAACTGCATTCATTATAAAATTCAGGATATATGAATTCAACATAATACTATTTGGGTTTTGTAACGCCTCCAGAATATTTCAAAAACTTATAACAAAGTTCTTCAAGACTAACATGTTGTTGTCTACCTTGATAACATCAATATATTTTCAAAATCTTTTGAAAAATATTTAAAACACTTAAAAAGTGTTTTTGATAAACTGCGAAAAGCAGGGCTAAGATTAAATATCGAAAAGTGTAATTTTTTTCAGGTAGAGATCCACTATCTTGGCCACATAATAAGTAAGGATAGCATAAGACCTGATGAATCCAAGGTCAAAAAGGTAAAAAATTTTCCAGTACCATCAAATCTCCATCAATTAAGAGGTTTCTTGGGCTGGCATCATACTATTAGTGTTTTATAAAAGAATTCATGAAAATAGCCAACCTCTTATATAAGTTGTTGGAAAAGAATATTCTATACGAGTAGACAGAAAAATGACAAGATGTGTTTGAAATATTAAAAAGATACCTTATAATAGCTCCCATCTTGAGATATCCTGAATTTAAAGTAATATTCTATCTCTACACAGATGCATCTGGTACAGGATTAGGAGCCGTACTAGCCCAAAAAGATAAGGATCACAGAAAATATGTGGTAGCATACACCAGGTGGAGACTTTCGAAAACAGAGCAAAACTATTCAACTCCAGAACTTGAATGCTTGGTGGTAGTTTGGGCTGTTGAGTATTTTCATTATTATTTAGGCACCAAGCATTTCACTTTAATTACCGATTATGCTACTCTCAAATGGCTACATACAGTGAAACTGAAAAAAAAGAGGGTCTGATGGATTTGAGACTACAGCTATCTAATTACTCTGTAGTATATTGAGTAGGTCAGAAATACTCGAATGTAGATGCGCTATCACGTATTTACTTACAGAAAAAAAGAGAATTATGCATAATATAATAATAATAATAATAATAATAATAATAAAAGTCGCTAAATAACCCTGGTACTGGGACGTAAATAAGTACTATGCAATATAATAATAAAAATAATAAAAAAAAAAAAAAAAAAAAAAAAAAAAAAATAGTCGCTAAATAACCCTAGTACTGGGACGTAAATAAATATTGCGCAATATATATATATATATATATATATATATAAAACAAAATTTGAAAATGTAATTCTGGAAGAATCACATAAAGTGGATAGAGGACGATATTAAAATAAATTTTTTTTACTAATAAATAAATATTTTAACTCTAAACCCTGATTTAAAATTTATACATGAACCAAAAAGTTCGAAAACTATATTGTTTAATATAAGCAAATATTAATATCTATAAGTAAAAAAAAAAAAAAAAAAAATCTGACATCAAATCCAATCTGGTCTAGGTAGTCAGTATCCTGGCAAAGCAAGAAGAAAAATGGAACCCCTTAGATATTAACAACTAAAGACATATTTAACAGATCAAACATTACCTTGAACCTTTACCCCATAACAACGTAGAAGTTTACAAATGCAAAGTCACTTCTTTGAAATAAAGAGAGGCCTAGATTATAAAAAAGATAAATCTAAAATTGACCATTTGTTAAGGGTTGTCCAGAAATATAAGGTCGAACTATCTTGTTTTTGACCCATATTTATCCTTTGGGAGGATATTTCAGAATGGAAATAATGCTCAATAAAATCTGCAACAAATATTATTGGCTACAAATGTATTCAGATATAAAGAATTACGTTCGCATATATGACACCTGCCAAAGAAGGTGTAAAAATTTAGTAAAGCCCTCATTACACCCAATTCTGGTTGAGGCTCTATTCTATAAAATCAGAATTGACATCATAGCACCATTACCAGAAACTCTAAGAGGTCACCATTATATTGTAGTCACTACTGACTATATGACTAAATGGCCAGAAGCCTGTGCAATTAAAAATGCTAATGCTCAAGAAGTAGCCAATTTCATTTATAAAAACATAGTGTGTCGACATGGGTGTCCGCAGTATTTGCTTTCAGACAGAGAAACTCATTTTCAAAATAAACTAATGGATGAATTTCTTAAAAAATTCACTATCGCTCATTACTACTCGACACCTTATCATCCCCAGACAAATGGTTTGGTTGAATGATTTAATAGAACACTATGTAAATCTATTGCCAAACTCGTAGCTAATGTGAGAAAATGGGATTCATTAATACCATCAGTCTTTTTTGCATACCTTATCTCCAAACAGGATATGACCAAGATGACCCCTTTTTACCTTGTTTATAGCAGGGAAGCACGACTCCCAATATATCCAAGCGAATCTGAGGAGTTGCTAGAAGAAATCTTTTTACAAAGACTTTTCGAACTAGTAGATATTCTACTCCAAAACAGGGTTGACGCAGTGGAAAAAATTAAACATGCTCAGAAAACAGCCAAAGAAAGACATGTTCAACAGATAAAGCATGTAGACGATCTAAAAAGAGGAGATCATATTTTAGTTTATAAGGTTTTACAAGAATACTCAAAAAGTCATAAACTCAATCCTAAATGGAAAGAACTTTTTATCATACATAAGGTCCTAACAAAAGGTGTTTATAAGCTTCACACCGTTGATAGAAATATCATTAAAGCACCAATAAACCAAAGATTGGTAAAAAGATATTGAAAAGAGGAAGAACTTGATAATAAAAAAACAGCATATCGATATTTAATCAATCTTCGGTTGAGAAATATAGTCTGATGATAATCAGATTTTAATATGTAGCACACATAAGATAAGTGTGGGTGAATGTCACAGGATAAAAGTGATATTTCTGAAATGTAATACTGCTACATCTCAGATTCAAGATAATTAAAGATCTAGAAAATGAGGTCAAAACTGTGTCTAAAAATGTAATTTGGCGAAGGATAGATAAAGGAATTACTGAAAATGGATACATCTAGTCATCTTGATATGCTACAAATAACGAGGTGATGACGAAAGTGATGACAAGAGTAATAATGAGAATAATGATGAGAGTGATAACGAGAGTGATTACAAGAGTGATGACGAGAGTGTTGATGAGAGTGATGACGTGGTAATATGAAAAGAAATACTCAAGACTAAATAAAAGAAACCATAGAGTGAGGGAATAAGACAAATCATATCAGAACAAAGAACTTTATAACTTAGCTTAGTCTCAAGTTAAAATGTTATAAAAAAGAGATGAAATATCTCCTTGTAAGAGAGAATTCTCGGGTTATAAATTAATAATATAAATAATAAAGTTATTATTAAACCTCCTGCATAAGATCATATTAAGTTCTTTGCTATTTTACTATAAAACACGCCTTTGGCAATTGCCTTAACATATATATATATACTTCTTAATTAAATTCCTAAGATTACGTTAAATTCACCCTATAACAATATCTAAACAATAAAAAGAAGGCCATATCTTTTTTATTTCTAAAATATCTATTTTTAATAGCAACCTTTTCAATACTAAGCCAATTAGTCTAGTAGAATACAGTCTAACATCATTATAATTACTAGGTTTGGAAACAAAATTTTGGTGATTATAAAAAAAGTTGTGACTAAATAAAGGTTAAATTTTATATATTTTATAATAGCTAGATCAAAAAAATAGTGTAACTATAACAAGGTTGTGACTATATTGAGAGTGACTATAATGAAGTCAGACTATATATTAGAAAATTATATACTAAACTTCTTATTAATTGTCTTAATCTTGCTCTATTTCAATATAATATTCTATTAGAAGAGTAACAAAAATCAGATGATTTTTTAGGGAGAGAGGTAGTAAAAAAAGTTAAAATTATATATTAAGATCTGATCAAATATATAATAAGAAAGAGAAAGAAAGGGCATACCTCTGATAAAAAAAAATCAGGTGATAAATGACACTGCCCTTACTATTTAACTTTGTTGCACTTTTTGGCACTTCACCTCTATTCCTATTTATATTTTTAACAATATCATTGAAGATTCTAATATAATATTAACTAACTTTGGCTCCTATCTTAAGATATAAACAAAGCCTATAATTCAGTTAATTTTAAACTTTTCTAAAAATCATTACAATGTATTCAAATATCTTTACAACTTATTTTTACTCTTACAAATTTCTTATTTAACTAAACCAACCAGGTTATTACTAACCTTGGTTTTACTAATTTTTACTCTATTAGAAATAGTATTGATTAAGAAAAAACAATTATTTCTTTTTTTTGAAGAATTTACTATAATCTACTTATTTTATATATTTCTTTACACTTTTTTGACTATATACTCTCTACCTTATAGCAAACTAGCCTTATATATACTTTTTCTAATTACTTTAACATCTTTATTTCTGTTCTCATCTATATAGATAACATATTATAAATTGTTCAATCCAAAATACAATTTGAAAAAATTATTAATATTGTTTTCTCTTTCTACTTTATAGCAGATAAAGTCAATTTTAACAATTTAGTTTTTATTACAAAACAAAACTCCGCTAATATTTTATTTCTTAACTCTAGCCTTTAATCTATTTCTTCTTACCAATTATTCTATTTTCTAGGCTGCTAGTTTATATTTAATAATAAGCAAACCTCCTAGATTAAACTTATTTAAAAAGAAGCTATCAGCTTAGCCAATATTGCTAGCACCAAAACAATCATTGACAAACAAATTATCTATATTATTAATACTATAATTATTCTTACTATTAAATATCACATCTATAATATCATAATCCTTTTCTCTATATACAATTATATTCTTAGTAAATATTTTATTATAGCCAAACACAAAGCCTATCTCTCCAGTTCTACTCTCAACAGTACTTTTTTTAATTACAATTTATATAATATTCACAGTATTTGATATATCCAATTTCAATTTCATATTAGTAATTTTTTAAATCAAATCAACAACTGCTTAATACTTAGTACTACTACTTTAGCAACATTAAACCAATTTCTAGTCTACTACTAATATACTTTTATATTCCTATCTAATTATTAATAGTCCAAACAAACACTTTACTACTTTTTTTTTTTTATATATATTGTTAAAATTGGCATAACAGGTAAACTTTATTAGAAGTAATGTTTAAATATTATTATATTTTTATATTGTTATATTTCTAAATTTATAAAGGTATATCAAGCCATATATGCACCTTTTGAATGCTTATTTAAATAGTTCACCTAAAGGTTTTACGCTAGATACTATATTTATAACCCAACTAGGAAGTTATCTATTTAAACTTTCTAGTATTCTTAGTTTTGCACTGCCTTATTCTATTTAAATTATCTCACCTTGTACTGTACAATAGTTACCCAAATTGGCATTTTTCTTCTGACTTTTACCTATTATAAATAAACTCTTTAAATATAATTACCCAGTATTACCCAATGAAAAGTATAGTAGATGTTTCCCTAAATCCTTTTATATTTTACATATTTCTAGAATTGGTTTAGAAATATAGTACTATAGCCTTATCTGTATACTAGTGAGTCTGATTATCTAAGCTATACATATCTCCTGCTCTTGCAAAATTCATTTCTATCTTAGTATTTATATTTAAACTTTTTTTTTCCAGATTTTTTACTAGTCTTTCTTTTGCTTTCAGCTAGCAATCCAGAAAAGTTGGTCTGCTTAGGCTTTAGGTGTCTTACAATCTCCCTCCTCTTGGTACATACTTCTAGTGCATATGTTCTTTTCTTTTAGTTGGCAATCTAATAGTTCAGATAGTATGTTTTCCTACTTAAAGACCTGGTCACTCAGTTTTCTAGTCTTAGTTTCTGGTTCCAAATTTGGTCTTTTTGTAGCACTATTAAAGGATTTCACTACTCCTTACTTGAGTCTTTTCAAATAGGTTTTGATCATTCTAGTTTCTTGGCATTTATACACCAAAGCTCTTATAGTAAGATGGTACAATCAAGATTACAGATTATAGATCTAACCAACCAATAGATAATTATTACTAAATACAAATTTTAATTTTTTAAAATTATTATCTATAAGATTTGAACTCTAGACCTGCTGCTTGGTGAAATAACAACTAGACCACTTCACTAAGCTACTATACACAATTAACACTTTACTACTTTTAAAATTATACAATTGCTAAACTATTTTTAAATTTTTATATATTCATACCCAACTTCTTTGGTTCAAAACTATAAGTAACAGTAATACACCTTTTGAAAATATATTATCTAATTACTTCAAGTATAATATCTTTAAACAACAACTTGTTATAAAAATATTCTTTATCTTGAACAACTTTGTTTGCTAAAACAATACTCTCTTAGACTAGTTATACCTATCTTCTTGACTTCTATATATTCTCAAAAGTAAAAAACCACTCTGGTTTACTTATTTTGAAAATTCTATTCTTAACAATAATATTTATTATACTATTATCTTTCATCTTTAACCTACTAGCATTAATCTATTTGTATATTAAACTAACCTATTTTCTAAAACTAATAAGCCATGAGTATTAACCTAATATTATTATTAGCTAAGTCTGCAAAAACTTTTCTTAATCCAACAAAATCTCCATAACTTACTAGCAAAACAATATTAATGCTTCTACTTTATACTATTATCTTTTACTCCAATTTCTTGTACTTCTTGCCAGGGTTCAACTTTAACTTATACTATATAACTAATATTGCACTTTAGAAGTATTAACTATTCTTTTTACCCACTTTCTTGAAAGAAAGAAAGCTAACAAACAACTTATTCTTAATGTAACTATATTGATCTTATTCACACTACTAATATTAAACACTCTTTATATATATTATTATCATCTTCTATCAATATTATTAACTCAATTATTTCAAATATTTTTCATGAAAGTGAAGCTTCTAAAAAACTATTCTATATTGCACTATCTAATTTCTTTTAATATCAATTTACTTTTTATACAAATAGCTCTATTAAACAACTTGGTACTGATTATTGCTCTATGTTATTGGCTAGGTTCAAGTTTATAGCAGCTATACTATTTAAAGCCTCTCTGCTCAAATTTCTAATTGGCTCTCTTTCTACAAAGCTAAACTAATAGCAATTATATCTGCTATATTTATACTTACTAGCGATTTTTTTGTTGAAATCTTCACTAACTTACAATCTATTATTTTCAAATTTAACAAACTTCAATCTCTTTTACCCTATTCTTCTAAACTCTTTAAATTTAATACTTGGCTTATTTGGCACATACTTCTTAATATATTAAAATTCTTTAATATTTAACATACTTTTTATAAAGTTCAAGACTACTTAAATAATCTTTTCAACAACTTTGCTAATCTGCTTGCAAATAACTATTTTATCTTTTTTATTCTATAATTCAACTTTACAATCTTTATAATTTATACTCTACTTTACTTTGAAACAATACTTATATTAAAAGCTCTACTAAACACTTTGTCAAAACAATCTGTAATTATATACTACTGCACTATAGTCTTTACAATAGTATGCTCAAGAATAGTCACACTTTTCTCAACTAATTAATTGGTAAGTTTCTTAGCTATACTTCAACAATAACTAAAAAATCTCATATAACTTTGCTAATTTTAATCTAAATTACTTAAAATCCTTTAAAATCAAGTTGTTTTTAAATACTATATTAACTAATTTATTTTTATTCTATACATCACTCTATTTTTATATCTTTTAACTGCTTTTCTGTAATAGCTTAGATACATCTTTTTACTAGTATACATGTTCTAATAATACACTTCTAATTTAAAATATTAGCTCTTCTATTTATAAGATTATTTCTAATACTAGCCTCAACTTTACTCCAAACAACTTAATATACACAAACTCTTCTTATCTTTTCTTTAACTCCTACCTTCTATATTATATTTTTACTTACTTTACTCTATACTTAAAGATCTTATCTTTAAATCTCTAATCTAATCTCTAAACTCTTTTAAATTTTCTATTCACAAGCCTTACAACTAATTATACAAATATTTCTTAAAATTTTTAACCTTACTTATACCAATATACTAGGAACTGGAAACCGGTATAAGTTTAGAGCTCACTTCAACCCTGGAAAAGTCTTGT